TGAAAATACCCATGCCATCTAAGTCTTGCCAGCAAATAGTACTTATTAACTAATACAATACAATATACTTAATATGCATATCTTTTCCCCTCAAGCATACCAAATTCTAGTGTATGACACAATACAAAATAGATTTTCTTCTCCCAGATGAAACCCTAATTTATATTTTTTAGTTTCCTTCAGAATAACTACCTAAGCATAGCCAGGCCAGATCAAAGGTCCATCTAACTACACAAGCTCAGAGAGTGGCCATTAACTTACGCAGAAATATCAGGGTGAGTAAAGAGCAACTTCTTTTTTTCCCTTTCCAGCCTACTCCAAAATATTTAAGTAGCAAAAAAGCAACCTTTCTCAATTTTAACATGATGTAACTGATGCCTAAAACACACCTGTGCATAATATGATAAATTATTAGCATTAACTATTTCTAGTGATATGAGGATAATCTTCCAAAGATAAAGACGCAACAGGCCCAACTACAAAGAGGCCAACATCTAATAACCAGAGGAACATGCAGAAAGACAATGGGAAAGAGAGGGAGTGTTTGTTTCACTCTGGCACAAATACATATCAGATAACTAAGAAATGCCATGGGACAAGATAAGGAAGACTTCAAGGCACACTAGGAGTGCTAACTTCTCCAGACAATCACAAGCTAGGCCTTGGGGAGGGGTGGCAGGGGGAGAACTGGGGAGAGGGTAGAAGGGGTGTGTGTGTGTGTAAATCGAAAGAAACTTTCACAGAAAATGCCTTGCCAGACAGTCACCATGGGAAAAGGCAACAAGACTACTGGACTCACTGAAAAACAAAAGGAAGATCACTCCCCAAAACAACAACAAAAAAAACCCAACAACCAGAAAACAGAATACTAACTGCAGCTATGATAAAGAACTACATCACACTCAAGAAATTCTAACCTATAAAACTCTTAATTTCACAAAGACAGGTTTTTATACTGCCTTAAACCTTTGTTAAAAATCTCTATGCTGAACTAATTTATCATTCCTTTTCCTTTGGAAGGTTTCAGCAACTTCCTTTTTTTTTTTTTGGTACTTTTGTATCTTTAGTGTCTGATTAAATGTGCTTTTTTTACAGATTTTATGAACTTAGCGTTGCTTACACCGATATCTGTAGGTAAAATAAAACACTGCACTATAAATGTTTTCCTTTTTTCTACAAACTTGTCATACACTTTACCAAACTGTATAGCTGTTGGTACAAAGCTGTATCTGAACTTGTCACCGTGCATTATTTCTTTTACTTAAAAAAATCTAGCAGGCGAGATAGAGGTGGGGACTTTTGCATTGTTTCTGCAAAACTATCTCAAAAGATAACATTTGCAAACTTTCACATTCAAATCAACTCTGAAGTTCCCTCAACACTCTAAGGCAGGACTGCCACAGAAGGAAGTTGCTTTTTCCCCTATGCCAGCACAAGCATTTGTGAGCTCTCACGATAAATCAGGCAAGAAAATGATTCATGCTAAAATTAACACGGGTTTGGTTTTTGTTGGGTTTTTTCCCCCTCCCAAGTTTTAACCCAGATCTGTTCACCCATCCATTTTGGCATGCGGCAAAACAAAATGTTTGTAGAAAGGGTACAGAACAGAGGTTGGGACAAGCAGCAGAGAGCGCCACTTCTTTCAGTGGCAGTTCTGGCTTTGCCTACAAGGGCTGTTTAAGTCAGGCTCCAAGAAACTCTATGGATTTTGGATTGATAGGGCTATTTTTAGTGTATCGACAATTAAGTACACTACTATTAATCTTATTCATAATCATGACAAGATTATGTATAAATGACATCAAAATATTCTCTTGTGACCAAAGAAAGTTATATCTGAGATTTAATAGTTTATTGACAACAATATACAAGTCTGTGGAGTTTGACAAGGCAGTAAAACACAAGTCAATTCTGAAAAAATTTCAATAGTCATAGAGAAGCTTTGCAGCAAAGCAGATGCTGAGTTCCTAAGACTTCTTTCAACCTTCAGCTGTCTTACAGGAAGAAATATAATATTGCTAGTACAATTGTTCTCAACTTGTACTTAGTTGCTGGCTCGATTTTGGAACTGAAGGACTACTTGGGTGCCTTGGAATTCTTTGTTGTTTTCCACTTCTATTGCTTGGTTAAATAAAAGTTATCACCTCTCCCCACAAGCCTTACTAAATCGACAAGCATTTGACTTACAGCCCTGAAACCAATCACTATATAACTTGAACAGCTGCACTGTAAAGAGGAATATTAGCCAAAAAAAAAAAACAAAAACAAAAACAACAAAAAAACCCACATTTTGTAGTCAAAGTACAGTAAGCCTCAACTCTGCTACATGCTAGCTGCCTAGTTTGGTTGAACTTAATTGGATCTATTAAATGGACACTTGTCCCCAGCCATAGCACACCACAGTTAAAATCACTTCTTCAATAGCTGAAATTATACATCACATACTGTCCCACTCCAACGGGACCCATCAATATAATCTAACACACCAAAAACCACCTTTGACTCCATTAAGCACCTGAACTGGTGTTTCATTCATCATACATATGCAATCCAGAGGCTTTTCCTTTCTACATCGCTCAGAAGGTACATGTTGATTTTAAAATTCTCAGTACTTCCATTTTCAAGACAGTACTAATGTTATCATACAGACATATCAAAACACTGTAAATGAACCTGGCCTACACTTTATTACCCACAACCCCAAGCAGAAGGAGGGAAAGGATAGAAAAACATTCTTTTTAAAAGTCCTTGGCACAAAAGCTGCTGCTCAGGCACTCTGGGACAGGTGCCCAGAACGTCTCAAGTTCCAATAATAAGTAAAGCCTTCATTACGAGAAGAAGTCTGGCCACAAAAATACAGATGTGATATCAGAAAAGTTGCTAATAAGGACACAAATTTGTAAGCAATTAAGTTGACCATGACTTCAATAAGCTAAGAGAACAAAAATTTGCAGGAACTGACCCAAAACCTGGTGGCCAAAACACCAAGTTACACATGCATCTTCTGTAAGAGACACACAGAGCATCTTTAGATCATATATGGCCAAGAAGGCAGCAAAAAACCTAGTTTCAAGGATTGATTCATGCCTGAATTTAAACATTCTGCTAAAGCTGGCTGTTAACTTTCCACAACTTTAAATATAACTAAACGTTATCTTTTAATTGAACAGAACTTTTTCATGCATTCCATCCCAAGCACTGCATCATCATAATATTCCACATGCCAATGTGAATTTGTTTTTATAAATCAAGTTGACATAAAGATTTGGATTTCATAAATAAAGATTATATATGTCTATACAAAAACATAAGGAAAAAAATACTTGTTGGTTTAGTTCTAAAGTGTACAGTACTTCCGATTTTCTTGATGCTTCAGTAAAGCCAATATCTGACCAAAAAAATGCCTCAAACTCAGATTAACCAGTACCATAAGAAAAATCTTCCTTTGTTGTTTCAGTGATGGTAGGTCCACTAGCAAAGTATTTGTTCCCATTTAAATTTAGTCTACAGTCTTGAGGTCATCTGAATTCCTTAACAGTAGTTCATAAAAAAAAAATCTGCTCTTAGCCTGAAAATTATGTCCAACACACACGTGAATTCAGCAAAACATATATGCATAACTTTGAAATTCTATTATTCCTATTATCTAGGAATGGCAAGCTCACCATTGCAAGTTCTGCAACTGGGACAAAATAAAATACCCATTTCAATGAGCACCTCAGAATTGCACTCCTCCCCATTCCACATAGATTTTGATTCAAGGTCTCCGTCCAAACAATCAAAACTCTAGGATCTTCTCCTGTAACTGGCAATATTCCACTGGAGTTTTGAAAATACTAGGCTGGACTTGTCCATTCAGTAATTTTCAAAAGTGTAATTGGACAACAAGGCTCATTTTCAAAGAAACAACTGGCATGTGCCTTGCTGCTTTAAAAAGCAAAGCACAAAGCCTACATTCTCTTCACATTTATAGCCAAGACATTTTTTGATGTACTAACTGACTAGCCAAGACCACGATTTCTATTTTTCAATCTTCGTGGGGTCACTGTTGTGATGGGAAACAGATCATCAGATGAGAGAATATTTCCAATCTCTAAAAAATTATTACTACACCTCCACCCTGGGCATAGGACCAAACCCAGGTTACGACAACTTTCTAGTCCAAAGACCATGGCGTTAACAAACGAGCTGTGCCAATATTTGATCAATGCTCAACTTTATTCTCTATTTTCAGCATAGAGTTAAGAAATAATGCTACTGTATCACAGTAGTATTTCGTGTTTACGGTGGAAAAAGAGATTAAAAAAATAAAAAAAAACAGAGATAAGCCTCCCAGTCCCCCAGGATGCTGTCAAGCAAGCAGAGAAGATGCTTTTGTAACAGTCCCTTTTGCTTCTGAAAATTTAGCAACTTCGCCAAGCACCAGTTATACTCAATAGGAAAGAAATTATATGTATCATATGAAATTGCAAAATCTGAGGCAGGTTTTACATATGAAACAATTTCAAAATTCCACTACAAACTCCAGAAATTCATCTTCGCTGTTTGTGAACAGTGCTATCTTTTCAGTCAAGAATACCCTTAACTAGATCTACTTGTTCCCCCTGTTCAACTATGCTTGCTCAAAGTGCTGGAACCCACAAAAACATTCCAGCTTACCAACAAAAATTTTCGGTAACATATCCTGCAATTATTACTTATGATTCCACTTCAGACCTCTCCCCAAAACTGTGGATGTATTTCACATACAAATTAGCAGTTTAATGTATCAACTCTGGCTTTGAGAGAACTCGCAAGAGTACAGCCACGAACTACAAAAATGACTCTTCCTCTTTTAAGGAAAAGCAAGGAAGTGGTATTCCCATAAAGGTCTGCAGGCAAGAAAGAGACATTTCAGCTATGACAAGGAAACAGTTCTCTAGCAGTTCTTTCCCGTGATGAAATGTTTACCTTAAGAAGCAAAAGTTGCAGGGAAGGGGACGGTGGTCAGGATTGCTCACCTTTAACCGTTTAACCACCTCATCGTTGGTAATTTTGTCCGTAATCTCCTTTACTCCAGGAGGATAGTAGATGATTTTACCATCGGCGGCAGGTTTTGGTTGGGTAGCAGGGAAGTCCATCCTGGTGCTGCTGGTTATAAACTTTCCTTCTCCACAGTCCTCTACCGGCCTCTATCGGTCAGAAAACAAAAGTTCAGCAGAATGGAACCGACTTTCTAACCCTCTTTTTCCATTTCTCACCCTCAATTCGCAGAAGGCCCCGGTTATCCCCCCGCCGGCTGCGCCCCCGCTGCCCCC